CTCGTGAAATTATTTGCAGCAATACATCTTCCCACTTTAGACGACTGAGCTTTGTCCGCATACTGCTGCTAACGAGTGCAAGACGGTTATCAAGTGGTAGATATCTCTTCACTGCGTAGCTCTCCAAGTTGTAAAGTAACACATCAGAATATCAAATCATGCCCTTTTACTTCATTCATTGGAGTCTGAACATCATGTAAATTCGTGTAATTTCAGGTCATTAACAAGGGTGGAATCACTTACAAGGGTCAGCCATGGCACAAGGAATGCTTTCTCTGTGCTAACTGTGGCAATCAACTCGCGGGTCAGAAATTTACGTCGAAGGACGATAAAATCTACTGTGCCGACTGCTACTCTGAACTATTTGCTAAGCGCTGCTCTGCTTGTTCAAAGCCAATTTCTGGTATGTTCTTTAGATGTAATCTACCTAGCTGTTTTTCCGTTAGTGTTTTCTGGGCTTAGAACACTAGTTGAAGTTCATTATTAATTAATTTTTCTTCAGACGCGCTGCTACGGGTCTAAAGTCAAAAAAGATTGGAATGCTTACACCTCTTAAAATCCTTCATGCTGAAGAGAAGGTTTTACTTGACACAATTCTATATACAGTTCCGTACCCTGAACACAGGAAATGAAAGTAATTCAACCGCTTGAAACACTGAATCTGTGACGTGAGGAGTTACAACACGAGGAATGGTTACAAAAAATTTAAGCAACTTAAAATGCTTACGAAAATACCTGCTAATTTCAAAAAGTGGCAAATTATGTTGCTGATCGTAAACAATTTTATGGCCGTTAAGTTTCGTAAAAGTACAAAAACTTACTTGACCCAGAACCAGCCATTCACAAGTAGCTCCGCGCCTCTCCTTAAAAATCTGGGGGCTAACACTTTGCTGTTGGCTATATCACTTCCATGACGAGATTCAAATATATTTTTATGTTTAACAGCTCCTAGGTAATTAAATTCTAGATGATGTGTGTGTAAACAATTTTACAGTATATGTGTAAACACTAATTGGACAATAACGAATGCGATTTCTATAGACGATTAAGTAATGCATTAATTTAATAGGATTTAAACATAGTGCAAATTAAACCCAATGCGGGAAATGTTAATCTATTAACACTTAGTTTTGACCAAAAGTTTATTTGGGTAAGTTGTGATATAGAGTAGCTTCATTAACAAATTTGTTGTTTTGATAATAAGTTAGTTTGAACCCGTGAATTCTCGTAAGCACGGCTCCTGTATCGAACTGACCAAATCCAATGAATATGCAGTAGTGCGATAATAAAAATTTCTGAAGGTTTACCATTTAATTTCCTTGATAAATTACTGGCATCAAATTCAGTTTAACAAAGTAAAAATGCTGTATATAACAAAACAATTTACCCGACGTCCTATGTTTATATCATAAAGGCATAACTAGCAGATTTGTGATGTTTTTGTAAATGTACGCTACAGTAAACACAGTTAAAATAAATGTCTGCTTGCTGACGCGGCGATGTAAGATTTGTTGACCGTTAGTTAAATATGCATGCACCTTTTTGAATACGAACAATTGCTGACAAACACTACTGTTGAAAATAGATATATTTATAACCTAAATGCAGCACAGAAAACTATTTAGTAAAATACACTTTACTAATTAAGTTAAAAATCTCAGTAAAATGTCAAAATTTACTTTTCAGTTTGCAACGTACATTAATCCTCAAGGATAAATTAGTGACGGATGAATTTATTTTCTAAAGAGGCTCTAAAAGAATGAAAAATGATAATAAATGTCACTTATACCATTTTGCGGTTAATTTTGTTGGTCTGTTTCCATTCGGTCAAATAAAAGGCATTTATTTTTCCTAAAATATAAAGTAAAAAAACGGCCAAACATGAAGGCCATTCAATACCGGAACACGGCGAGAAAGGCCATATTTTTTTCACAGAGGTACCTAACGTGTTGAATGGGTTTACTTGAGGGAACGGCGCTTAAAAAACGCGAAAACTTAAAATTGTTTTTTATTGGGCGATTTGGTCGTGTTCTTAAATGCTTAAAAACCATTGGGTTTGAAAACTCAAATGCGAGTCCGTTCGCCAGGAATATTTTTCAGGATTCTTACTCAGAAATGAACTTTATTTCAAACATTAGTCCCGCACAATAAGTGGTATCCTGACAATACTTTAAACCTTGATCATAATTTTGTTTCCATCGTCGTTCCTTCATACAGATAATATGCAGTCAGTTATTTAAGTTTAAAACGCCAAAACCGACTGTTTTGTACTATTAGCGTGGTTCATTTCCTTGACCATTGAAAAAATTCCATTAGATAATGCGAGTGAAAGGTAATTGCGTTGCTCCGAATGGACTGTTGTGCTTAATTCCTTGCATTTTCCACTTGCTTTGTTAATTCATCAACATGACACTGTCTGTATTAAATGTCATTTTGTGCCGCCTACCTTTAACTTACGACGTAAACTGGGACTTGATTGCGCCCAGTGCAGCGTCAAAACAGGAAAAGGTGGATGTATTCCCCGAAATAGGAGTCAAAGCAACTTGAGTGTAGTGAAGAGACCTAGCACTTGCTTCAAACACCAAAAGCATGTTTGGTTTTCCAAAATAACTTCAGAAGGAAGGTAACCTGAGATGATGATCGTTAAGATTTTGCCCATTTTATTGCAATGATTTTTTTAAAAATTCATAGCGATGTACTTTAAATATGATGGTATAAAATCATGTAAAGTTTCCCTTAGAAATACTGGACTGGATTGTTTATGGATGATCGAAATGCCGCCAAAGGCGGGTCCAAATTAGAACAGGAACTTGAAGTTAATCAGACAACAAAAAAGTTTTTATTATCAGTATTTATCATTGAATCCGTCTATTAAACAGAAGACATATTGAGGCTTTTAGTTATTTCTGGGTTATAACTTTTAAAACTCAATACCTGTGAACGTATTACAAAACCCTCTCTTAATACAATAAACAACCTACATGACCTGCATTTCCATAAGATTTAAAGAACAGTTAGTTTTATACTTTACCTGAACATAAACTGCTCGAGTACGCTTTATTTCCATTAGAAGAATACCCACAATCGTAGACCAATTCCTTAATCAACTGAATTTTCGACGACAGTATGCCTTAAACTACAAGATCTATAACTGTTGTTGACATCAAGAATAGTCCTAATTTTTTGCTAGTAAATGTAATTGAATTTTACACCACTGTGTGAGCGTAGGTAAACTTGCATAACTTCAGCTGGCTGGCATTGAAACAGTGGTCAAGGCAATAAAAAAACAGTAATTTAATCTACCAGCATTTGTTGCGAATTGATTATAACCCAAAAACCCACACTCATTGAACCAATGTGCAAGTTGATCGTCTAACCTAAGCCCCATCTTTCCAGTACAGGACAAAAGCATGATCCTGTGCTGAAAGCTTACTGTCCTAATCATTGACCGAGTAACATGTTAGAAAGTTCTTAAGCTTTATGCGGCCTTAACCACAAGAACTAAGATGAATTAGCATATGGAGGAGGTGTCAGTGTTAAGTAGAACGTGTGATTATGTCACTACTGGGGTGATGTAGTTATGACAATCGTGTAAAATGAGAAAAAAATGTGAATTGATTAGATTCACGAATATATTTGTCATTAGGAATGGTGACTTCCTCATAAAACATCGTTAAGGTAACCAGAATGTTGCAATAAGTTTAATCTTCTAGACATTCATGTAATTGTAGTGACTGTCGAAACGTATTTCAAAGCATGTAATGGCTAAAAGGACAGGGGAGTTGTAAGAATCGTCTCGAGAGTTGTGTCATTGGAGCCTACTATGGCGCTCGAAACGTCACAAGATCTCATCATCCTCGTGCAGTTTCGAGCGATGCAGCAAACACGTGTAGGCAATTATGGTTGTTCAAAAGACTACATGACACTCGAATGAAACACCAAAAAATATTTATGATCGGACTTCTAAGAGGATTAGATTCAGAGATTATTAATAATATTGCGCTCTCAAAGGTCGCAATTTACTTTGACATCAATAAATGGATCTGATCTGCGGGTCAAAAAGCAAACACTTCGTCTCAATATATGTAGATGCCCCAGCATTTTGTTTATTTAAGTCTTTTAACACAAATTTGTTATATTCAGGCTTCGGTGGCTGCAAATTTATTACTTTTGAGGACAAGAACTGGCATTCCGAGTGTTTTAACTGCTGCAAATGCAATTCGAGTCTCGTTGGACGTGGATTTCTAGTAGAAGATGAAGGTGTCGTCTGTCCAGACTGCGGTGCCTAGGGCCTTAGCGCCCTTTTCATCCCCTCTCTTTCCGCCTTGACTGCTTGCTTTACTTACTCTGCTCATGCTCTCGTTCACAAGTAAATTGGCTCATAGTTTCACACTCCGATGCCTAGCAAAAGAAAACAGAAAACGCATTTCCTTAACAATCATGACCATAATACTAGCTACTTTTTTTCGTGTCCTTTACCACCTCTTCCCAGATTTAAAAATCTGATTGTTTCTGCTTTTGTCCATGACTAATGAATGACTTCGTTACCGGTATGCAATAAGTGAACGAAAGCCCCATTTATTTCACTTACTGAGAGTATTTATTTTCCCTCTGTCTAAAGATAAAGCATTAGTAAAATGTTGTGAATTTACACTTATTTTTTTTGCACCCATAAATTCACTGGTATAAGCCAAAATAGCGCAAAGGTTTTTATTATTTACATGATGACAGAAAATTCCCATCATTTCCAACGACAGCTGTGACTTTCTTTGCTAAACTATTTTAGGGTAATTGAAAGCAAAAGAGCTATGAATTTAAACCAGACGTGTTGAAAGTTGACTTTAAAGTCTGATCAACCCAGTAAACTGTTTGGCACGAAACCCTTCAAAAATTTAAACTAAAGGGCCTGAATTTGGTCATATGCGGACAAACAACTGCTGTCTGAGTAAGAAACAATTTATTTTAATTTGAAAGTTGAGCTATTGCATTTGTTAAAGTGGTAACTAGTACTAAAATAAATTAAACTAAGCAAAATGAGAAAAAACGGGTTTGAAATTTCCTGTACTTCTAATGACTGAGACAAAGCATTGTTATGTGTTTAGTCAAGAGAAATTCCTTACCACACATAGCCAATTCTACAAACTGCTTGGAGTATTTGTCTAAGTGAACAGCCAAATTCACTGTGACATCTACACCATCTCGGGATCTTACCACGTTATGCATTAGAAATTTAAATGAATCCAGGTGTTCCGTGACGTGAAAAAGTATTTGACTTTAGACTGAACACCACACAATAATCCTTCCTCAAATAAACTGAGGCATTAAATCAGTATATAATTTTAGGAATGGCAGCAGTAACAGTATTGGTTATAATAATACATTCTAAGTTCGCTGTCACTGAGGAACCACATTGAGTCTGTTTGATAACTATCAAGGTCAAAGTGTAACGGGGAGAGAAAAAATTATTCAAGATAGTAGTTGTCACTTTTAGCTATGTAAAAGGATCCATTAGTTGGTTAATTCAGTCTGCTATTTTGCGTAGCCATCTAAAGGTTGCAGCATGTATTTCTTTAGGGCTATTTTTCGATATGATTTAACGTATGGAAGAAGTCGTGGTAATTTAATTTTAGAATTGAAATTCATGGAGTGAAATTTCTCTGCGCTTAGTCTGTAAATTGTCCTCATCCAATAAATGCACAAAAACATCTGTGTACCTAGAACCGTAGTATGTGCAAGGGCTAAGGCTCAAATTCGCCATTTTAATAAATCTTTCTTTCCGCAAAAGGCTCAAAAGGATTATCTGGTTCGTTAGTTATTTTGAAGGCCCCCACTTCCAAATTTGATTCCAAACAAATACTTAAAAACCTTTAAAAACGCTCATATTATGGGACGCAAGTCAACAGCTTAAGTATCTTCAAGCAGCAAAAAGCCCTTAGCTATTGCCATCAGTCACAAAATGACAACTAATTGAAACAAGGCATTAAAGGTTTTCTGCCATAAGTCAATTCTTCAGTTCTTTCACCACACAAGACAAGTAAGTCCACAAATTCTGCTCATAAAGGGCATTGCTGTGATCAAAAATAGACCTTAGCATAGAAATCTGGTAGAAGAACCTAAAGCTACTATTGGCAACTTGGTCACAATTAAGCAAATGTAATGGATTGTGATCAGGTTAAAAATGTACCAAAGTACCAACTGCTTTCAAATTCTAAAAATTAAAACTGTCTTGAGTCACCGACGTTTTGTTATCCAAAACATGAGGCCACTAGCATATTTGTCTGTTCCTAGCCAGGCCAACAGAGTTCAAAGTAAATTTCTGAAAGGTAAAAACGTTGATCGAGCTACAACCTAGCCCAGTGTAATTTGTGATATCAAGTGTCCCAGTTACTTCGTTGGTTGCATTTTACAAATTATATTCAGCGTTGGTCGAAGGAAATCATTGAAAGCACTAAATAATCCCATAAAAAATATTGAAAGGATTCGCAAGCTAAATTTAGAACAAATTTAATGTAGTAGAGTGCTTTTCGGAAGCACACGAATTCAAAATAACCCGCTGAGTGATTCATTGGAAAAGCTTAACAATCGAGTCAGTGTAGCAGAAATCTAGCGGCATTCGATACCTCTAGTAACAAGGTTGGTCAAATTCCCAGCATTTATGTAATATTTTAAGTACTATTCATAACATGACATTGATGGTTAATTCAATTAGTGTAGTGCTTTGTAAAGTGAAAGGCATGGACACTGGGTCGAAAATACTAAGTCTATCATTATAGAAGATAATTGGCATATAGAGGCAGATTCATAACCATTCATTCCGTTAAATAAAAAGTACCAATTGTCATATAGAATAGTCTTGAATAAGATTTTATGAGTCACACTGATTTATTTTAAGCTTATTCATTAAGCAGATCATATAATAGATTTGGTCAGACAAATCCTATTTGGCTTTAAAGCGTCTGTTTGGATCGAAATTTGTGGTGCTGCTTCCCATGTTATTTCATCACAACGCAGCTACAAGACTTCTGTACTAAAAAAATAAGTGTCTGAAGGGTTGGGGGAAAAGAGGCTCTTCGTACGCGGCTAAACATAGAATTTATTTGCTGCTCCCTGTCAGATTTTAGCTGCGTGTTAAATGTAAACCCTTTCCTTGACAATAGCATCAACAGCAAATCTGGCACCTTTTAAATGCCATTCACTTAAAGCCATTTGAAAGCCCCACACCTAGAACAATTCAAGTATTCTTTTAAAATGAAAATTCGAAGTGTAACTTTGTGAACTGCCCCTAGTTCTAAACCTTCATACATGAATAAAATTGACTTGCTACATTCAGAGTAATAGTGATGCAGCAGGGATGGACGAATACTAAGAAAAATACTTTTTTTAATTTGCTGTTGAATAATTTTTGATTCAGCGACCACAATAATGCTTTTTTCTTTCCATGAAATTTGAATGAATCTTGCAGTTCATTCGCTTTCAGCATCCAAATATGCGCTCACAGTGGTGGATTTGTAAGAGGTAAACGTTTTTGCGCAAAACCAATTTAAACTAAACTAAACAAAATATCATTGCCACATTTATACCTCCGTTTTGTTTTCAGTAATTTATTCACGGTTTCAATGTTAGTGACAGTTGCTATAATAAGGCAACTTTGAACTTTGAGCTATACGGTCGCCTTCACAAACGTGCAGCTATGCAGGGTAAATTGATAGAATCTCAGAAAACGCCAAGCACAATCAGAAATTATTACCTAAAGCGTTCGTTTGACTTACTGAAATATCTGACTTTTCATCTGACCCTAACTGAGTCCTCGCCATTTTGACAATTGTGTTACCTTTCAGTGGAGTGGGTGGTCAAAAGTGGTACAGGAATTTTGCCTCTCTTACTGCATCCATCAGGGCTGTTCATTATATTCTATAAATCCATGCCATGGCATGCTCGGTTGCACAAAGGAATTGGAAGAAGGTTCCCATAATAATTGATAAAAAATTATTGGGCCACACGTTCTGGGGGCTCCGTATATTGACCACTTGTGTTTTGAAGCACCATCAAAAAACCCAGGAGCATGCAGTACAAAGGTCCATCTGTTCTACAAGGTCGCTGCTTTCAATTTCGAGTCCGCACAACCAACATTTTAAGAATATGCAGTTGTATAGAAGCCCAATCAAATTATTAACCATACTAGGGCAGAAACCCCAACACCACCCAATATTTTTAGTTTGGGGATTCGCGCCACTTATTTGGTGCAGCCCTCCTCACAGTGTCACGCATACACTTGGAAGTTTAGCTGTGCCAGCATTTTGGATGCACCAGCCTAAAACCCGGCTTCTGCTGCCCCTAGTCAACAAGCGTTCACATAGTCAAAACCTCCGGCTGTGGTAACAATTGAGGCTAAATTTAAATCGTGCAAATTCACGATGCTGAACCTTGCAAGACGGCCACCATCGTACTTTTTATCTAATCTTAGCAAGAATATCTGGCATTCACAAGTGTGCGTAAGCGTCTAGAACAAAATTGCTAATCTTGCTTCCCTGAGCTAAATTCACAAGTAAAGCCGTTGAAAAAAATACCAATGCCCTCGTAATGTGGTGATTCGATTATTCTACTGGCTTCGGGCATTAAACTTAGGCAATCAAAGCGACCCAGGCTATTTCGTACGCCAAAGAAGCCACACTGTTTGCAGATTTGGTAAAGAACGTCTAACTGGCATTTCCTGAACCAACTGTTTTGAGAAAGTTGCGTGCATACGGGTCACCCAAAAGGGATACGCCCTATTCACGCCTAAAAAATGCCGCATTTGCACTTAAGCGATTGTATTCTGTAACTGCGATTTGATGTGGAATTTTAATACAGCATTCAGTCATACACGTTGTCGTAGCGATCGAACGTCCGGCTTACTACTTACAGAAAATCTAAAATTTGCAGTTGATGATTATCCATTAAGGTAGCTTAATCATAGAAAATCGCTTCCCATGTATGAAAGTGCAAACAATTAGGACTGCTTGAAACTAAAGCCATTAATTCACCGATGTGGTTCTGAATCCGTATCGATTAGTTAATAGGAACTTGCTCAACTACTAGAAACCATCTAGACTTATTGAGGAGTGACCAACCCGAAAATTGCTCATTGACGTTAATCGACCATCAAATAGCCATTGCAGGTCTTAGTGACAGTTTACGAGATGATAAATGTGAATGTATACACATATACTTCCCTAGTTGAGTGTTTATTTGTTTGTTTTTCCGACAGCCTTGTTTTCATATTCCCGTTTCAGAGATCATTTTCACTATT